GAAAGAATGTTCATGTTTTATTTACAACAAAAGTAGCAATAATATACGAGAAAGATAAAGCTCCAGAGAAGAAATTAAAACATTTACTAATCCCTGTGGTTTCTTTTTGGACATAAATAAATGGATATTTTCACAAACAATCCTTTCTCTCTATTATAATTAATTGTGGCTGTATATTGTCAAAAAAAAAAAACGAATTTAATTGCTGTAGAAAATATGACATTTTGTTTGATATATGTATGTATATATTAGTAAAATTTCAGAATTTCTATAATAAATAAAAATGTGCTACTTTGTGAAAAATATATTGTTCATTTACTACAAGACTAACATAATCCAAGATTCGGACGTTTTGAAGTAAGGGCTACAAACATGAGATGGGAAACATATCAGCCTATACTATATAATTTTTAAATCCTATAACTTGTTTATTTTTCTCAAAACAATTTTTTTTATCATGTCAGTCTTGTAGTCAATGATCAAAGATTTTTTTCTACAGAAAATGAGAGGTACCTCAAAGTTTTCAGTAACATTTGTCATTTTTACTTATTTAACTATAGCCCTGTTGACGGGATACAAGGGCAAAATATGAATAATTCGCTTAAACCGATTTTATTAAAATCTCACAGCTTTATCGTTAAAGTAATAAACGTTTTGTACCAAGAATAGAAGTATTTTTGATCGATTTGTCAGTAGATCGCACCACAGACTACAGGGGAAATTCGTTCATTAACCGTACTGTACGTATGAGGAACAAACTTCTTGTATAAGTCTTTCAGCCACTTTATATAACAATTTTTAAATTAAAGTCCATAAGAAATATATCCTCTATTCTCTCTCTCCACAAACCTATTTTCTTATTACAAACACAATACATTGTATAAGTAGGGTTCGACCTTGGGTCAAAAGTATAAAAGAATAAGATCCTTTTGTTACTCATTTATTCTAAATTTTATTATTTTATATCAATAGTAATATGAATCATAATATATTTTTTTATGATTTATTGAATGATTTTCAGTAAAAGATTGATGATTTTCAGTAAAAATTATATAGGATGTATAGTCCAATATGGACAATTCATTTCAATTCAGTCATTTTCTGAAGGGTACAAAACTTGTTCATGTGGAATTTTGTTGATATACATGTATTTTAGGTCAGATTTTGGTTTTTGAAATTATTTTCAATTATAGACTGATTCTTATAAATTCAGATTATAATCCCGACAAAACATGTTTATGTGGCATTTCGTTTCTATACTGGAATTTTGAAGCAAGATCGATCCTTATAAAATTTGACAGAGAGATATTGGCATTTAGAAGCAAGTTACAAGCGTTATAGTAATTTTCTGAAGGGGACTTTATATGGGTAGTAGGGTCAATTTTAGACCGATCCTCATAAAATTTGGTAGAGGTATTTAAGTTTCGATAAAACATGTATATGTCGAATTTCATTGCGATACTGGCATTTTGACAGACGGACAGACAGATAGATAGACAGACAGACACAGACGGACGGACATGGATAGATCGTCTAAGAATCTAATAAGTATCCAGAATATATACACTTCTATGGGTCCTAGACCAATATTTCGTTGTGTTACAAACAGAATGACAAAAACAATATACTCCCAAAAGGATGTTATTGCACCTAACCCTCTTACAACAAAACGGTACTGCCAATTTTAGTGTAAATTGAATTAACTTTCTCTGTATTAAAAAAAGATTACAATTGAAAAAAGAAATAAAAATTGTCCTCTCCAAGCTTGGGATTTGAGTTGACATTAATAATCGTAATAGTTAATCTAAAAAGAAATGCTATTGAATTTGTTGTTTTTGAGTACTATTTCACTTTGCAATATTACTATAAATTATCAATGTTTTTAAAAATTTACTGTAAGTGTAATATGAAAATAATTTCAAAATTTCAAAATTAACTTTAAACCAAATATTTGTTTATAGTTTGAAATCTCCCGATTTTGTAATAATTAAGAAATATAGAATTCTCATGTTTATTTTTATAAAAAAAATATTTGTTTATTTTCGCAGCATTTTAGCAGCTGTAAACATTTTGTCCAAATTTAACCATTTCCATTAGGCACTTAAACTCGTAAACAATATTAATTATTCAACAACATTCGAAGAACTACTTTAATTTAATCGCTACTTTTAAGACAATTAAGAAAGTTATGAATATTAAATGTGATTTATTTTTCGTAATAAAGCATTTTTCTTGAATATTACCTTGATTCCAATTTATTTAAGCATTTTTTATACCCTACACCACTTTAGTGGGGAGGGTATATTGGATTTGTGCTGATGTTTGTAACATACAAAAATATTCGTCCTAGACCCACCTTAAAGTATACCAATCGGCTTAGAATCGTTTTCTGAGTCGATTAAGCTATGTCCGTCCGTCCGTCCGTCCGTCCGTCTGGCAGGCTGGCTGGCTGGCTGTCCATGTAAACCTTGTGCGCAAGGTACAGGTCGCAATTTTCAAGATAATTGGATGAAATTTGGCACGCACGTTTTATTTGACCCAAGGACGAAGCCTATTGAAAATGGTTGAAATCGGTCCATTATTTCACCTAGCCCCCATAGAACAGAACCCCCCGAAAAGGGCTTTTGAGCTCATAATTTTGTTAAATTTACAGATATATCGATAAAATGCGGCACAACTAAGTTTTATAGAAGTCTGGATGACCCTGCCAAATTTCATAAAGATCGGGTCCCATTTGACCCTAGCTCCCATACAAAGTCCCCTTCAGAAAATTACTTGAATGTCCCAAATTAACTTATAAACACAAATATCGCGATGAAATTTAGCACAATAAAATATTATGTAAATATAAATATATTCACAAAATTTTATCGGGCTTGGTCCATATTTGCCCCTAGCCCCCATATAAAGCCTCTTTCAGAAAATTAGATTTTCATCCATAAATTGCTTAAATGTATCGGAACAAGGGAATATTGAAGATAAATGCTTTATTATGAAAAATAAATCACATTTAATATTCATAACTGGTGTAGGGTATCATATGGTCGGCCACGCCTGACTATACTTTCTTACTTGTTTTTTTTTTTGAAAACTTATTTCTTAATAGAGGCTTTTTATGGGGCATAGGAGCAAATGTGGACCGATCCCGATAAAATGGGCTGGATAGATTTGTATTTATTTTAACGTTTGTCATTGCAATAACAGTGTTAATAAATTAATTGCGGATATTCAAGTGACTTTCTGAAGGCGGCTTTGTATGAAGTCCGATCATATCGAAATTCGGCAAGGTCATCAAGGTTTATATAAAACTTAGTTGTGTGAACTTTCATCGAGATACATTTATATTATACATAATTCTGAGCTCAAAAACCATTTTCGGGGGGGTCAGTTGATTTTAACCAATTTCAACAGGCTTCGTACTTGGGTTAAAATAAAGGCGTATTCCAAATTTTATCAAATTATGTTGAAAATTGCGACCTGTACTTTGATAACAACGTTTACATGGACACACGGACGGTCGGACAGACGGACATCGTTAAATCGACTCAGAAAGTGATTCTGAGTCGATCGGTGTACTTTAAGGTGGATATAGTTCTCATATTTTAATGCGTTACAAACATCAGCACAAACGCATAATAACCCTCTCACTATAGTGGTGTAGGGTATAAATATTACAATTTCAAAAAATTTAATATAATGTATAAAATAATGCATTAGCTTGAAAAAACAAATTATATGAAAAAATAGTCTTCAGTCAAAATTTCGGAAATAAAAAAACATTTATTCGCAAATACTACTTCATGGCTTTCAATATCTCTCTCTCTCTCTTAGCGAAAGCAATATTTATGGTATTTTTAAATCCCTTCTTTAATGTTGTTAAGGAGATGCTTTATGAAAATTTTCATTTAGCTATATACAATTGTGTAGCAAAACCTTTATGTTCCTAGAGCACTTAATATAAATACATAGTTAGAAAGAACTTCAATATAAATTTATTAAAACAGTAATTTTGCATATTCTGTTTCTGTACAAATACTTAGATAAAATTAATGTTATTCTTATGTACAAGTTTTTAATTAGAATATTCTTGGATCACAGCTATTTTTATACCCTTCACCTTCGTGAGAAGGGTATATATAAGTTTGTCATTCCGTTTGTAATTTCTATAATATAATTTTCCGACCCTATAAAGTATATATATTCTGGATCCTTATAGATAGCGGAGTCGATTAAGCCATGTCCGTCTGCCTGTCTGTCTGTATGTTTGTTGAAATCAGTTTTTAGAAGACTCCAGATATCGGCGAGATCCGAATCTTCAATAATTCTGTTAGACATGCTTTCGGGAAGATCGCTATTTAAAATCAGCAAAATCGGTCCATAAATACCGGAGATATGAGAAAAAATCCGAGACAACCTCTGAAAATTTCATAAAAAAGACAATTTTTTTCATGCTTTGATATAAGCAACAACAACAACAACAACAACAACACTGCTTATTCATTGAGTATTTCGTTTCATATGTTTGGATGGCTGTGTGTTTCATTGCCATGTGTATATTGTTTTTGTTTCTTGGTGCATTCAGTTTCGTATGTTTGGATGTCTGTTGGTTTTACTGCCATGTGTATTTGTTTTTTTGTGTGTTTATTTCGTTTAGCGTTGTTGTTCGTTTTACTATTGCTATAATAATGATATAAACGGGAAAATGAAATAAATTAAACTTTTATAGAATAGATATTTTTTAAATACACTGTGATGAAGGGTATATAAGATTCGGCACAGCTGAATCTTATAGTTGTTTGTATATATTCTTGTTATAAAACGATATTAAAATTCTCAGAACTTTTCAATTTATTTTACTTACACAACTTATTCTCAGTATTTCTATAAATCAGAAATCTAGTTGTTATTCATGCATTCATTTGTTTTCTTTATACATACTTATATATGATTTTATTTTTAATTTACATATATTTATATATATTTTTTCTGTTCTATTACAGATTCCCCAGGGACCAACAAACTTTACCCAATCATTTTTACTTTACTGACTATGAGAGACATAATGCTGAGATCGCTGCATTTCATTTGGACAGGTAAGAAAAATTGTGTAATAAAAAATCTACTTAAATGCAAACTACTTTGTAGGTCCAAAAATCAGCAATACACAAATAGAATTTTGTCATAACAATTCCTTCAAAGAAAAACTTAAACAAACAAAATGGGTTTATTAAACAAAAGTATTGTGTAAACATTTTTGCCTTGTATTAGTATGACTATTAGTTTAATATCAACAAAATTATAAAGTTTTATTTATATACAACATCAGAATCCATAACATGTTACCAGTTTAAAAAATATTTTTCAAAGCGCCTAGAATATAAGTAGTCAAAACCATTTAATCTATTTATTTAAATATTTCGAAAAATATATCCAGAATTCTCATTAGAATTACAAATAGCAATTTATAAAAGCCACTTAATACTAACTCCTAAAATTTTATAACTTAAATAAACTTATTTTTTTTTTTCTTTACTGTTTCCTATAAATTCAGAACGTACTAAATTCTTATGCTTAAGAGAGAAATGAAAGACTTATTTAAAAAACACAAAATTTAATACACAACGGACAACTTTAAAATTATAATAAAAATAATTTGCATTTCTTTTATTGACCACAATTGGCAAAGGAAGGAAAAGATGAAGTAAAAAAAAAAAATCAAATTCTTAACCAAAAGATATTTCTTTTTTTTTTTTGGTAATTTTATATTCATAGTATTTAAACATTTTATTTTTCATAAAAAATAGATTGCATAAAAAATAGAAATAAAACATTTAGTTGTGAAGAGCCAAAAACAAGGGGAATGAATGGAGGAAAAATTAAAAGAAATATGAAACATTGAAAAGGTTTTTTTGGAATGATAAAACTTAAAAATAAAGTTTATTTTTGTATACTTGACACCAGAGAAGGAAAAAAGTTGACTAAAACAGCAGGAGTGAAAGAAAATATAAAATACAGGAAACTACAAGACAAAGTTTATAACCATACGAGAATTCTTATTTAAGTTTTTTGTTTTTACTACCGTTCTAGTCTGTTTTTATGCCCTACGATACATAAGGGAGGCTGTAGTGCGTTTTTGCTGTAGTTTGTTATGCACAAGCATATCCAAGATTCAATAATTATACTTATAGATTCTACAGTAATCCTTCAATTGTTTGTTGAAATACATTTACTGAAGACCGTAGATATGTATAATTCAATCAGCAAATCTATATATATAAAAGAGTAGCGTTACTCAGCCCAAACGGCTGTACCTGGAATCATGACATTTTGACAGTAGATCATGTAGATTCACTAAGGAGGGATTTTTGGAAATTTGTACACTTACGGGTAAAAAAGGGGAAAAACGGGTAAAACAGGTTTTCTTAATTATCTTACACAATATTAGTGATACAAGAAAAATTTTAAATGTACCTGTATCTACTCTTAAAAAGAGCAGATGGGTGTCTGGTACCTTTTTGAAATTCGTACTTTTAAGGGGTGAAAATGTTTAACAAATGTGATTTTGGTACCTTTTTTGGCCATTTATAACTTTTTAACTAAAAAACAAAATAACATTTTTGTATCTCCCAAAATTATGAGACACCTGTTTCGTACTTTTTTAAAATTCACTCCTTTTTGGATCTAAAAGGGAGAAAACTGTATTTTTGGTACTTTTTTTAAGCACATTAAGAAAACTTTTCGACTTATTGACATATATCTATTAAATTACGTACTAACTCTGTAATATATACTGAAACAAAATATTTGCTATTTCACTGGGGAAAAAGTACCAAAAAGGGGAAAAACGGGAAATTTAATTTATTCAAATTAATTGGGCCAATTTTTATAAAATTTAAGAAAATAGTTAATTTACTCACACAAAATAAGCTTTTGGTACATTATTTTGGAATTCGGACACTAATGTCTATATAGGACCAAATTCGGGTAAATTTTGTATGTATGTATGTATTTAATTTTGGTTAGGGTAGCAAAGCACCCGGGGTATGGTAATCTATATGTATAAAAATGAATGTGTGTTTCTATGTTTGTTTGGACTTTATAGACTGCTAAACTTTTTTCCTGAAAATTTCACAGTCTCTTCTTGTATGTCTGGAAGGAACTAGGCTTTTTTTCGAAATTTCAAGTGGGCCCACATACAAAATAAATATTAAAAGTCACATATCTCAGAAAGTGCAAAAGCTAGAGTCCTTAAATTTTGTATGGAAATCTTTGACATCCACATAAATATAGGGGATAATATGGGTGGCCAACTGTAGTGGGCGTGGCACCTCCCAAATAAAGAAAATCTTAAATTAGTATATCTGAAAAAAGGCAGTTAGAGTTCTCAACCACTTTAGTGTCAATATGAGTATTTGTGAAAAAAGTGTGCGGACTAGCAAAAGGGAGACGTGACACCTCCAATATGAATTAAATGCGAAAATTCGAAGTTATATATGGGATATTATTAGATTATTCATATTTTTATTATTCAAATTAATTAAAATCCAAATTAACGCTTGAAAAACTTCCAATAGTTGGCGTGGCATCTCTCACATTAACTAAATACAAAAAAATCGTATATCTGGAAAAATCTTAGAGCTAGAATCATAAAGCGATGCTTTTATTTATATTGTTTTTAGGGTAGCAGAGCACACTGGGTATAGCTAGTATTCTATAAATAAAGAAGATATGAGCAAAATTTTGAGACAACCCATGAGAATTCTTGTGATTTCATTCAAAAACGAAAAACAACAACAAAATAGGGCTATATATATATGTTATAAGTTGTTGTTGTATTTTGTTTCTCTCATTTATGCAAACTAAATACATAGAGTAAGAATCGAAAAAATTAAACGAAAAAATAAAATTTAAAAAAAAATTTAATTTAATTCTTAAAAAAATAAAAGTTATATAAAACATAGATATTACATTTTTTAAACACATTATGGTATAAGGTAAGCAAGATTCGTCATAGCCAAATATAGAACTCTTACTTGTTATTTTTATTTTTGTTACTTAATAATTGTACTGTATACGTACATATATGTAGGTGAATAATAATGTATGTTTGGTGTATGTATTTGTATAATAACTTGTGGGTACTTATACGAATTATAACTTAAACTTTGTTATAACCCAACCATTCATTGCTCAGACGCCAACACTCAAAGTTGTATAGAAACTGTACTAGAAAGAAAAAACATAATAAATACTCATAAACATAAAACTTACATTTACAGAGTGAATAGAAATATATTTATGCAGTTAACATAATACAAGCGCAATATATCTCTTGATGATTCCTAAGATTCGTTTATAACATTAAAGTCCGATTGTGGTGATCACCATCGAACTCCATAAAAAACAATAAAAAATATGTAGTTTTTTATAAATAAAGCAATAAATGGGGAATTGTAAGAAAAATATGAAAATTTTCTTTGTAATACTACATGGGTGACGTATGATTTATATTTAATTCCAACAATTATTTATAACTCATACTCTTATCACTTTTCAAGTGTGAAATCATTCTTAAATTTTAAAAATCATTAAAATTTTTAAAGAAAAATCTAGTTTAAAGTCGAACTCCTTAAAAAGAATAAAAAAAATTAGTTCTTAGCATTAAATGGGGAAATTGAAGGAATCCATAAATAGATATCCAACTCGCATCCCATTCTGGGAATATAAAGCCCTTAAAGGAAATTGTGTAAACTTTCTTTGGAGCAAAAAATGAGAGTTTTTTGAAAAAAAAAAAAATTTAAAAAATTTAAAAAATTAAAAAATTTTTTTTTTTTAAATATTATTAAAAAAAAATATTTAAAAAACTTTAAAAAAATTATTTATTTATTTTTTTTTTTTTTGAAATAATGCAGAAATAGCTATCTGTACTCCTTTGGACAATTTTCGTTAGGACCAGTAAGGGAAAAGTTACACTCATTTGAATAAAACCCTGTATGACCAAAATGTCCAACTTTGACCCCCTCTAACTCCTGTAGTTCTTGACTGATATTGCTGAAAATTTGTCTCAGGCATACTATCCAATAGTACTAACCTTCGTGCAGATTTCATCAAAATCGATTTTTAGAGTTGGATCACTTGAAATGATATTGCCCATATTTATTTGTAATCAGGTTGACGTATGATTTATATTTAATTCCAACAATTATTTATAACTCATACTCTTATCACTTTTCAAAAGTGAAATCATACTAAAATTTTAAAAATCATTAAAATTTTTAAAGGAAAATCTAGTTTAAGGTAATAAAAGTCAAACTCTGTAAAAAGAATAAAAAACATGTAGTTCCTTATAAATAATCAAATAAATGTTGAAATTGTAAGAAAAATATGAAAATTTTCTTTATACATAAATATGTGTAATTTCGAGTCTTTTAAAATCGACGACTTTTCGGCTGAAATTTACACCAAGTACTATTGAATAGTAGCCAAACACAAATTTTCAGCGCTATCGGTAAAGAACTGCCGGAGTTAGAGGGAGTCAAAGTAGGACCTTTTGGTCATACAAGGTTTTATTCAAATGAGTAACCACAAAGCTCTTGAAGGATATGATCTAAGCTTTCTAAGTACAAAAAAATACAACAATTTTGAAAAAATAGGGGAAAATAATTTAGGGGAAAATAATTTAATAATTAGGGTGACGTATGATTTATATTAAATTCCAACAATTATTTATAACTCATACTCTTACACTTTTCAAGAGTGAAACCAGACATACATTTTAAAAATCATTTAAATTTTAAAGAAATTTTTAGTTTAAGGAAATAAAAATGTTTTGTCACTATTCGCAGATACAAAATCATGAAAATCCAAAAAATACACACAAAAGTAAAAAAAAAAACACGAAAATAAAGCAATTAAACTAATTCGATAGTATTCCCAAATTATGTATTAATTATTATTTCACACACTGTATCCAAACAAAAAGTTCAAAGTAGTAAGAAAATGTACATTACACGTTCTTAAGTTTACCAAAACAATAACAAAACCACAAAATAATATAATAAAACAATAACAAAAACAGGATAATATTTATGTCTGTATATAAAAACATTAAGTTAAATACAGCCACAGTTGCTCCTACATATACATATGTACAACATACATCTTAAAATAGAAACAACCCTGCAGTACCAATACCTCAATTTGAGATATTATCTGCTATAAATAATTTCAAAAATATAGATCGATTATAAATCGAAAATTGAATCTATTTTTGATTATTTTAGGGGTAGTAAAAAACGGAACTACTTTCTTTCGGGAAAGCACTGGCTAAAGGGGATACATTGGCTCTTTATAAAATGCTGGTAGATAATGAAATACAATGTATGTGTAGAACAGAAAAATGTGTGTATTAAGACATTTACTTTATTGCATTATCATCACCAGCATCTCTCGGCAAATCCAAAAGAAAACAAAGAGGGAGTCTGTAAGGAATATTATTTAGTAGTGTATAATTTCAGGGATGGAGAAGAATCAACAACATTTTTTTGGCACAATTTAAACATGTCTTACTAAAATTTCCTTTTTTTAATTTCGGGGGTCATAAGCAATATATTTTTTTGGTTATTATCTATTTAATTTAAAGAAACTTAAATAGAAATTCTTAAAATGATGCTGAATTAAAAAAAAATATCTTTAGAAAACTCTTTCTTATCCCTGCAATTTGCAGTAGCAGGGAGAATATTTTGTTATTATTTAAGTCCCATTTGAAACTAACGTCTTTGGAGTGGTCATAGTACAAGAAATATTTTTCTATTGTCTAACGCCCTTATAATCACAAATTTTTTTTATTATTATTTTTTGGTGACGGTTTGCTTGTTTTCTTTAAAAAAAACTCATGAAATAAATAATGGTGTCTGATGTGTGTTTGTGCGCTGGCATCGAGCAGTGTCCTTTTTTTTATTTTCATTTGTTTGTCTTGATTTTTTTATAGTTTGTTTTTTTTTCTGTTGCTCTAACCTAAACAAAAATATGTCTTCTGGTCTTTTGTTCTTGTTAAGACGAAAAACATATTTTTATTTTTATTATACAATATTTTGTTTTTCCTTCTTTTTATTGTACTTCTCGTTACATATTTGTCTTATTTTTTTTTATTTTTTTATCTATTGTTTGTGTTTTGTCTTGCAAAATGTGTAAATACTCTTGATGGTCGTAAAGCAATTTTCTACTTCAGAAATATTGCTGTTGTCTTCTTTTTGTTCTAGTTCTTTTTTGTTAGTTTTACTTATAATTTCTTTAGAATTTGTGTCTTTTCTTTGGGATAACTAAAGAATTTTTGTTAAATTTCAAAGAAATATATCATACAGATTTTGCATGACATGATGACAGCCATCTCAGCACTGTTACATGTATAGTACAACCTGTTAATTCAGTAATTGTTTGCTTTGTTTGGACTGCCCGATATATATTAAATGCAGATAATTTTTTAATATTGCATGTTATGCTGATGGAATTGTAAAGAATTATAAATAATACAAATACTGGTACATTCAAAATATATAACAATTGTGTGATCATTAAAAATACTTTTCATTTTACTAATCGGGCTTATTCATTCCAAGGAAGCATCTCGTCCTTTTTCGTTTGGCTTATACCATTTTTTTATATTTCTAAAAAATTTCCAAAAAATATTCATTTTTAAATAAAATAACAATATTTTTAGATCGTTAATGGTAATGGGTAGCGGGCTAAACTTTTCTTTAGTCCACACTAATTGACACTTCATATTTCTTCCATAAAAATGGTGAACCTGTTTTTTAACATATATACATGTATACATACTAGGGTTGTCGATTATTCATGTTTAAAATTATTCGAATAAAAATGTACTAATTTTTTTTCATGCGAGTAGTCGATTAAATTTTTAAAATTATCCGATTATTCGAACAAATAACGATAAAAGCTTTTATTCGAATAATTTAATAAAATATAAATAAAATTTGCCAAACAACTTTAAAATCTTAAGATAAGGGTAAAAACGGTTTTCGTACATTAATACATTAATAAATCAGTAACTTAATTGAATCTCAACCTATTTTAAAATTTTCAACGGATTCAAAAGTGGAAGCTGAGGCCTTTACAAAGATATATGATGTTTAACTAACCTGTTTTAAAGACGTTTTTAAAAACTGTTTTATATAAGAAAATCGTACTATTTATTATTGTATTAGAAACAGGCCTATATTGGGCCTGTTGTGCGCTGCTTTTCATGGAAGAAAAAAAAATACAACATAGCGTCCACTGAATGTATTATCTTTCAATATTCTGAAACTCAAACTGGCCGTAATTCCTTAAAGAAATGATTCAAAGTTTCCGACATACTTATTCTGTATCTAGTATACGATCAGGCACGTCCGATGATTGTTTATAGCCTTCCAATGTGTACAGTATACATTGATGACTTGTCCTACAACCGCTTTTAAGCAGTTTACCTAATGTAATGAGCCATTCGGTAGTAAGTGCAGCCTTATATCTTAAATATGTTTCAATGGATGGAGTTTCTAGAGTCTTGCTTGAATTTGTGCTTACACTTTTTGTCCAAAGAAGTCAACCAGTTTATGGAAGCATAAGCTAGAGATAGTCTAATTACACTTTTATAAAACCAATATGTCATAGTAGGACTAAGACCCCATTTTATGCCTATGGTTCACCTTCATATCGCCCAGCACCGATGCGCCTCGATGTGCCTTTTTGATCCTATTCTCTATGTGGTGTCTCTATTTTAATTTTCGGTGAAGTATTACATTCTGTCAATCACCGGTATCTTCTTGCCCAGGAACAGGGTTCAGTATACTTAGAAATTTTTGTCATTCTTATGAAAAGACAGATACTTAAAGAAACCAATTAATTAATGTTAAATCTGTTTCACTTATTGCAAACATTTAAAAAAATTAAGAGAATCACTTTTAAAACTAGAACCATTTTATTTTTAACATTGCAAAACTAAAATTTTTATAAATTGCAGAAAATAGTAAAAGTTTTGTTTAAATTACTTAAATTTGTTTTACAAAATATTAACATAATATCAATGCTATGTAGAATAAAATATGTATGTATAATAAAAAGTAACATTCAAATATTCGATTAATCGACAAAAATTATACGAATTATTCTTTATTCTAAATTGGAAATTTTTTATTCGTTCTAAGAAAAACAAATTTTTTTCCTCGATTAATCGAATAATTTGTATTCGAATGACAACCTTAATACATATACAACCCTAACACAGCAACACACAAAATTGAAGTTGCTGATGTTCCCACCGAAAATTAAAATTTTTAATTAATTCTAAGATACCATTTCTCAAAATTTTTGTCCTGAAGTCAATATTTAGTGCGCTGGATCAAAGGATAAAAAGGTCCTTTTTTAAGGTTTTTATGATTTTTATCATATTTCTTACTAATAAACCATATGTAAATTTAGTATCATATGAAAGGGTCTATAAAATTAAATAAACTTCGATATAGATTGAATTTTGAAAAACGGAAAAAAACGTTTACGTAGATTTTATTGAGAATTATTATTTATTAATTTCAATGAATTATATTAAATTCATCTGTGTTAAAATGCAAAAATTCTTAAAATTTCCTGAAAAATTAGAAATTTTCGATTACTTTTGCTGTTACGGAAAAATTTCTGATATGGAATTTAAAGCGTCTCTCAAGGACCTTTCTAATGAATATTTCATATCTTTCCTTTGGAAGAATTATGAAAAAATCATAAAATCCTCTAAAAAGGACTTCGTTTGTTTGATGCAGCTCACCAAATATTGACGCCACCAATTAAACTTTAATTTTAGTTGGGAACATGGACACTTTATTTTTCCTCCATACAAACGGGGCCACCCTAATACACATGTATTTTATATATATATAACTAAATAAATCATTTATATTTTTCTTTTCCTCTTATTTATAGAATTTTAGGATTTCGTCGCGCCATGCCAGTGACTGGTCGTTTGTTAAATATCACCACGGAAATTTATCAAGTGGCCGATGATAATTTATTAAAAACGTTCTTTGTTTCGCCTTCTTCGAATTTATGTTTTCATGGTAAATGTTCATACTACTGTGACACATCGCATGCGATTTGCGGTAATCCCGATATGTTGGAAGGTTCGTTTGCTGCATTTTTGCCCTCCTATGAACAGGCTGGCAGAAAGGTAAGTATAAATAAATATTTAAAAATTTAGTTTCCTTTATATAGAAATATAAATACTTAAAACTGAAAAATGTTTCTTAAAATATGCTTAAAGAAAAAAAAAAACATGCGTTGAAGTAAAATTTTGCGAAAATTTTTTGGTTTAACATTTAAAGAATTTTTCTCGTTCTACTTTTGATACAATTGTGTTGTTATATTTGTGCCATATATATAGATTATTTGTATATACATAAATATATTTTTTTTGTTTATGATTAATGATGACATTTGGGTCTAATTTTTATATTTTCTGTATTTTAAAGCCTTACAAACAAAATATTTCACATTTTTTTCCATAAAAAAATATTACTGTTTTTTTTATGTTTTTGTTAGAAATTGTGTTCTTTGTTGCTGTTTGTATTTTCTCAGCAATAGTTTTTATGTTCTAAATTTAATTTTATATGTTCAAGTCCTGTCTATTTAAAAATACTTTTTAAGGGATTATAATGGAGTTTCTAATTTAATGCCCTACAATACTTTAGAGAAGAGAGCATTTGTGGTTTAAAACATGTAAGAGTGTTGGATTAGGTAATGCCATCAAAACATGTTTTCTAAATTCGATTTTAGAAATAAGAATATATTATATCAGACAACTTTACAGGGGTAATTTAAAAGAGTCAATAATTTCAAAAACTAATTTCTTAACATAAATTATTTATATTTTAATTTTATACATATACTAGCTAATACGCAACCCCTATCGAAATTAAATACATAATCAAAAAATTATTTATTTAGTTATTAAATAATAAAATTTTTCTTAAAGAATTATTATAATTTCATTTGATGACAATATATTTTACTTAAATTCTGAAATAATACATTAATGATCTTTTACTTTTATTCTTAAAAATAATGTCTATTCTAATGCCGTGGGATACACAATAATTTTTGTTTTACCCTCTAGAAAATTCTAACTACAATAGTTTTCCAGATTAACAATGTGTTACATATGAGAGTTAGCAAGCAAATTATTGCAAGTTTGCCAATTTCTATGCATTGCCAATTTCTATGCATTGCCAATTTCTATTTATGAAAAACTTGAATTATCTAACAGTTTTTAAGATATACGAAATTTTGTTTTTAACTCATATATGTGGTGTCAAGCCCCTCATTGAAAGTCCGGCCGTTATTCTATAAATGTTCACTTGAATGTCAAAGTTCTTCATGTAAAATTTAAAGATTCTAAAGATTCTGTAATAGATTTTTAGAAATACGAATTTTTCTATTTAATACATTTGGGGTATCCAAACCTCCCAGATGAAAGTCCGTTATTTTTCCTTAAAAATGTTCAGATGAATTTCTTCGTGCAAAATTTTAAGAATTTAGTTCTTTTAGATTCCCAGATAAACGAATTTTTGTATTTAATTAATATGGGAGGTGCCGCTCCCCTAATCGGTAGTCCGCCAATTTATTAACCAAAATATTGACATGGATGTTAAAGTTATTCGTGCAAAATTTTAAGATTCTAACTGTAATAGTTTCCAAGATTAACGAATTTTTGAATTTCATTTATATGGGAGGTGCCATACCCCCTAATGGTAATCCGCCCACTTTTTGTTAGAAATAATTATATTGACACTAAAGTCGCTCCGACAAAATTTGAAGGCTTTAACTCTTATATTATCTCAAATATACGGATTTAATATTTTCTTAATATGGGCGTGGCACCTCGCGCTTATGAAATTTCAAAACAAAAAGTAGCCCATTGTTTCTTTCAGATAGAGAGGAACACACAGTAAAAATTTCAAGAAGATCGGTTCTGTAGTTTAGTCTCCTATAAGGTACAAAGAAACAAACAAATAAACAAACATACATTGATTTTTGTATATATAGATTTAACGTCGAATATATCTTACTTTTTTGTCTGTTTTTATATATTTCTGTGAAATATTACCACAGTTCAATTGGTTAAAAATTCAGTTTTTTTTTTTTTTTTGATTTAATATATTGTTGAATAAGTTTAGCACCAACAAACTTATGTACATTATATACCTACAAGGATATTTTACTGACCTTTATATTTCCAAGAAACCAACAAAATATTAAATATTTTCCGTACATCAATAAATGAGATTGTCGGTGTTATTGTTGTAAAATATTGTATATAATTTGATAAGTTTTCTTTTTTAACACTTGACTGATTTTCTTTAAAATGTTTGTGGAAAATTTCCTCTTAAAGCTGTGAAATAATCAGTTGAATTTTTAAGCAGAAATAAAATTTAACACCTGCTTGTTTTAAAACATTTCCTTTCAATCAATAGATTTAAAATATATTTTTATATAGCCTATTAAATAGATTTTTATAGGTTTTCAATTCATTGTGCATATTTATTTGGGAAGTCATAAAATTAGGTCATAAAAATGTTATGATTTAAAGCAGGTGTTGTGTAGTAGGTGTGTGTGTTGAGGAAAAAAAGTGTTATCAGAGCATTTATACTTTTTCAATATTTGTTATAATATTGTTTGATAACAAACACATTTTAAAAGTAAATTAAATTTTTTGTTGGTTTTAGTGCATTTTTCATATATAATGTAATTTAAAAAAATTTTTGAAATATGTCATTTCATTTGACGATGTCTGTCTGTCTGTCTGTCTGTCTGTCTGTCTGTCTGTCTGTCTGTCCGTCTTCTATACATATGGGCAATTTCATGTCAAGTGACCCCAAATCAAAAAAACAAAAAATTTGGAAACAATAAAGAAATAGCTATCGGAACACCTTTGGACAATTTTTGCTAGGACCAATAGGTGAAAAGTTACAGTAATTTGAATAAAAACCAGTACCACCGAAATGTCCAACTTTAACCAGCTCTGACACCGACAGTTCTTGATCGATAGTTCTGAAAATTTGTGTCCGGTCTACTATCCAATAGTACAAACCTTTGTGCAAATTTCATCCAAATCGGAAGATATCGATTTTAAATGTTGGGTCACTTGGCACGATATTGCCCATACATATTTTAAGTCAAAGTAGAAACCCTGTGGCGTATAAGTAATAAAATATTCTGTGAATTAAATGAAAATCATACGCTGCATTAAACAGATGAAAGACGATATACAGGTTCACAGTAAACTACTATTTACCATGACATTTAATCGATTAATCGTCATCCGGTTAACCGGTTAATTTAGGTAGATTAATTAGTTCGAATAATTTCGAATTACAGAATTTTATATTTCAAGAATAAATATATGAATTGGAGTCATTGAATTTTGTATACATATGTATATTACAGAGAATGCAACAACTAAAAAAGCCTTTTTTCAGTATTAAAATGATCTTAAATGTAAAAAAAATCTAACAGTTTTATTTCTCTAAAACATTGCTGCCACTTTCATAGATTTTAGATCAAGTTAAAACATAATTATGTCTTTGTTGAGGTTTTAATCAACCCACTTACTTATTATTCACACATATAATAAGTAAGATGTTAGTATGTATCTCTCTTTTAGGTAAAGTTATAATTTTATACTAGAAAATTTAGTTCAGCATTACTTAAACATTTAGTCACATCTTAGGAAAAATAAAAATATTTTTTAGAAATTCTTAAGTAAGGATAAACATAAAAATTCTAAAGTACAAGAAACCTTAAAAACGAAAAACCAACACTCGAAAAACTCAAACTTAAGTTCTTTTTTTTTTTTTTTTTGAGAATTATACCCAAGTGTGTATTTTATATGAGATTATTTTGTGGCATTTAAAATATTTTTATTATTTTATGAAATTAAAAAGAAAAATAAAAACCAAGAAAAAGTGAGAATATATATTTTTTTGTTTGTACTTGTGTGCAAACAAAAATATAAAAGACTCCTGTGGTGTAGCATTTTGAAGTTGTATTTAGCAACACAGCTTGAAAACGGAAACAAATAGTAATTTCATTGTGTGTTATAAAAAAATTTTGAATTAATATTTTTTTTTTAAAACGTATGGTAGACTTAGTATTTCTAATAATCATTATAATTAAATGAAAAATATTAGCTACATGTTTAAAATTCACAATAAACATCAATATTTATAAATTTCCAATTTATGTAATTTTCTTAAGATGTAGGCAAAAGAGCGACAAATAAAAGAACTCAGAATAGTTTGTTTGTTATACCCTACACCACTTTAGTGGGGAGGGTATATTGGATTTGTGCTGATGTTTGTAACGCACAATAATATTGATCCTATACTCACCTTAAAGTATACCAATCGGCTTAGAATCATTTTCTGAGTCGATTTAGTGATGTCCGTCCTTCTGTCCGTCCGTCCATGTAAACCTTGTAATCAAACTACAGGTCGCAATTTTGAAGATAATTCAATAAAATTTCGCACATGATCTTCTATGGTTCCGAATACAAAGCCTATTGAAAATGGTTAACATCAGTTAATTATTTCACCTAGCTCCCATACAACTAAACCGGCGAATAGGGATTTTAAGTTCATACTTATGTTCAATATAGTCTTATCTCGACAAAAAGCCCTACACAAAGCCGCCTTCAAAATTTGACTTAAATATCCACAATTTTATTGAACAATAAATGGCTTAAGAATAATTCAAGGCAAGGTACAATTCAACTTAAATGGTTTATTATGAAAACTAAATCACATTTTATTTTTGTAACAGGTGTAGGGTATTATATGGTCGTCTTCGCCCAACTATAATTTCTTACTTGTTTTTAGAAATGTTACAGTTAAGCAACTAAATTGGAAAAACCATAAAATTACCGTTCTATTCGTGACTGCTTTATTTAATAGTCATGTCTTTTAACATGTCTAAGGACTAGTCTATGAACTACTTGATCTATGAGCTACTTTACACTACTGCATATTTAGTATATGAACTGATTTATTAAATAGTTGATTTGTATATAAATCTGTTAGCGTTCGTTTTCTGATACTATGTTTTCCGAAAATTGTATGATCACTAGAATGGCATATTGTTAAGTGAATTTAGTTCCCCATAACATTGAACAGG